CCCATGCTCTAATTAAATCTTTACTGAGCAGAGCGTGAGTGTGCAGCCTCACTTAATTGACACATGTGAATCCCTCGTCCGTCTGTGGCAATGTGCAATATCATGCAGGATTCTGTGTTGGAGCTCGACCCGCGGTCACTGCTCCCCCCCTCCCCTTTTTGTAGACGGTCCCCCGCCAGCGCCACGCTGCTGTTTGCGGAGCCAATCGATGCCACTTGTGCCTAACGAGGAGGCGTGAGTGCGTTCGCGAGTCGCGAGACGACGGCGCAGTAGGGTCAGGTCGCCAATTCAGAATGGCGCCCAACAATTTTCCTATCATTTACCTGGGTCTTTTGCTATGAAACTCTGACAGTTATCCCTAGGTTATACTCCAGGTAAGAAGGCAGAAGGAAGGGGCCATCGGACCGCATACACGGTTTTGGATGATTGCTCCAATTTAGCCAAACGCTTTCCCGCCAAAATTTGAAAGTAGTGGCTGTTCCCCTCGCTGGCTGCAATGTCGTCGCCAGTGGTTCAGCGTGTGTAATGATATGCCCGGGCCGCCCCCGTGGCCCTGCGGTCGGCTCACATGCCGATAAGATTATTTACGTCAACACCAGCAGCACCAGCTGGCCCAGCCGCTCGCCCCGGCCCCGCTGGACCCCCCTCTCCGCCCTCCCTCTCTCCGCCATCCCCGTCTCCACCCTTCCCCTCTCTCCTCTCCACAATAAACACTTTCATTCGCTGTTTTGTGTTGCGGGAAACCGCAACCACAAGAAAGTTCATTCGAGGGAATTCCATGATAAGTCGCCCCCTAAAGAGGGCAGATAGAAAGGCCTTCCATTTAATAATTGGTTGCGCTTTCGGATTGACGTTTGTTCCCCGCGTCGTGAATGATGACCCCTGGCATCGGGCGTGCGACCGTCGTCATGGAGGAAGACCGCGCTCAGCAACGACAGCGCCAGCCTCAGGAGCGGGAGGGGTGGGGATTATCGAACATCCGGACAAAACGAGCAGGACGGCCGGCTTCGTGTGAACGAGAAGCCTCTGGCACCAGCGTCATTTCTCTTGTTGTGACGTTATCTCCCCATTATGATTGTCTTCATTATTATATTTTTTTTTTTTTGCCGTGTAGGTGGCTGCCGCCGAGACCGAGGGATGAGGCCTGGCCCGCTCTTGAGGAGAGGTATGCTGTCCGACGTCTCGACCAGCAGCAGGACCAGGACTACCAGGACCACCGCCAGAGCAGCAGGCTCACGGGCGATGCCCGACAGCTGCTGAGGAGGATCGCAGCGACCGCAGCCAGCCGCGCAGTGCAGAGCAAGTCGGCGCTGCCCAACCCAACGGCTCCAAACCCTAGACCAGGGGGTGTGTGACTCGTGCTCGAAACTTTGACCCCGCCGCCACCATGACGCGTGCGGACCTGGACACCATTCTGCTGCAGCTGGGCGACTTCGGCCGCTTCCAGTTCGCCAACTATGTGGCCATCAGTTTCCCCATCCTCTTCTCTGCCATCTACACGCTGACGTACGTCTTCACGGCCAAGGACCTCGAGTACAGGTGAGTAGAGGAGGCGGAGGGCTGACGGGCGAGGGGGAGTCTCGGCACCTCCTTTTACACCCTTAATGAGGTAGCTGATGGATAGGCAATTCGCACTGCAATCATCACTGCAATCCGCACTGCAATCCGCACTGCAATCATCACTGCAATCCGCACTGCAATCCGCACTGCAATCCCCCTGACATTGGTCAAAAAGCGCGACATTGTTATTCCCGTGTCGCACACCGGTGAAATTCGATTGAATAATGGTTGCAATGCGACTTCATTTCGAATAAGACCAAGCAAATCCTAGATCACGCCTACTCTTATGCGAGGTGTGCGGCTGCCTCCTGTGTTACTAAGAAGTTCACTTTATACTTGCTATGACCGCCCCCCGACTTTGACGACTGTAAGCCACTTTGGGGATGAAAAAAATGTGCGAAGGACGCGCGACGCGCGCTGCTTCCGACCGCGAGTGGTCCAGCATTGGGACGACCGCAAGGCCGACACACTTTTCGCGAGGGTCACAGTCGGCACACACGTGCGCGCGGCCTGGCCCGACTCGGCTCCGCCCAGATGATGCCACTTAACTACTATCGCGGGCGGTTAAATGAACGGAGTGCTTCCCCGCGGGGCGGGGCCTCCAGCTGGAGCCTCGTGTTGTCGTAGGGCAGTGTCGCGTGCTGCTTGGTGTTGCTCCGCGAGCGGATGGCGAGGTCGGCCAAGGCCGGCCGGAGGTGTATCTGGGAGTCTCTGGTCCGCGTCCTGCTGCGCGGCAAATGCGTCTCTGCTTCAAAGTTGCTGTCTTTGCTTGAAAACCCGAGCACAAAGCGCTGCTTGGTTATCTCCGGCAAATGTGGTAGTTTCAAAGCAGCAGTAATATCACCGCATCGCGTTCCTTGTTCTGCTTCGTGTATCGCGTTGTTGCGGACTTGTCTCCGTGGACGTCGTCATATGCCGTGCCCGTGCCCGTGCACGTGCCCGTGCCCGTGCCCGTGCCATCTTTGTCCCGAGCGGCTAGGTAAGCCCGCTCGCCGCCAATGCGCCGTTGAAGCTCACGGCCCGGGTAACGCTCTCACGGTGTGCCTGCGCCTGCACGCTCTGTGCACGGCCCGCCTGCCCGCCCAGGGAAATGTGTAGTAGAGTGAATGTGGAGTGGATCTGGTTAGAACCGCCTGAAACTGGATGCCTCTTCGTTTTTGTTTTTATTGCAAGGCCGCTGCCGCTTGTCACTTCGGCACACGGCCCGGCCCGGCCCGCTCGGCCCGGCCGGGCTCTGCTGACTCGCTTGGCCTGCACTGTGTGCGCCGCGCCCACCTACACCATCCCCGCCCTGCCCTTGCCTTGCGACTGAACTGGAGTCAGCCGTGATTCGGGTCGCTCCCAACCCCCTGTGCTCCCTTCTCCCATTTGCTGCCCACTCCTACCCTTCGCTGACCACCCGCACTCCGCCTGCAACACCCGGCCGGGTCCGACCCGCATCCATGTGTCGCCATGTACGTCGCCGTGCCCACGCGGCTGCAGCGCGGCTGTGCGGCAGTGTTTGAACCCAAGGCTGGCCGCCGCCGCCCGCCCGGCGCTGACATGGCGGGCCGAGTGGGCCGCTGCACCTGTACCTCTGGGAGGGGTTGCAGAGTTACCACACGGGACGGGCTTTTCTGCAACAACAAGCGGGCTCGACTTTGCCTGCCGGGTGGGCAACCCGTCCACTCGCCTGCATGCGCGGTCGGTACAGCAGTCTCACTGACTGACTAGAAAGTGCCTCTTCGGCTCTCTGGCGCGAGGCTCGCGATCTTCGCTCCGCGACCGGACAATGTTGGGCCGCGAGGGCGGGTCAAGGTGTGCCGTGTACAATACACTCGGTGCGCAGCTTGCTGCCGCTTGCCCAAGAGCGGTGCTGTCCTGGCTCGCGTCCAGCGGCCCTGGGAGCCAGCGCGGATGAGCCGCAGCTCTAGGGCTGTACGATATCCAGACTTTGATATCGAACCAAGTATCGAACATACACTCGATGCACCGAGTCTCGATAATATCGAGTTGATATCGCAATATCAAATCATGTCGAGAAAACGATTTGTCTGAATATGGCCAACACATATCGTATCGAGCAAGTCCGATATTTCGATATCGAGGGATTATCAAACTCTCGATATCGTAAAATATCGAATTTATATCGAAATATAACTGAAAATAAACTGAGCCGCTCTCTGCCCCACAGGTGTCGCGTGCCCGAGTGCGAGGGCGCGGCCGGCCCGCTGGGCGACAAGGGGCTGGTGCAGTACCTACCCGACTGGCTGGTGCACGCCGTGCCGCACGACGGCGGCGGCCAGCCCAGCGCCTGCCACCGCTACGCCCCGCACACCTGGAATGGGTCCTCGGTCGCCGGGGGCTGCTCCGCCGACCTCTTCAACAAGGAGGTGGTGCGCTGCCAGGACTGGGTCTTCGAGCCCGGCCAGATGAACTCCATCGCCAGCGAGGTGAGTGGTGTTCGCCCCAGACCATGGCGCCCGACGGGCCGATCGAATAGGCAACCCTCCTACACACTTGAGAATGCGGCACAGCTTAGGCACAGCATCGAGCACAGCATGCTCGTGGTCGTGGTCAATTAGCCAATCAGCCACCTGGTATGTTTTTCCCTACACAAAGGTTTAGTTATGTGTGTGTAATTCGATAATTTTCTGTCCTGTTTCAGTGGAATATAACATGTGACGAGAACAAGTGGCAGCTCTCCATTGTAGGCACCGTCAACAACATCGGGCTGTTCGCCGGACTGCCGTTTGCCGGGTTCTGGTCTGATCGGTAGGTATTCGGAGTCGTTGTCCACACAAATATCGGAATATTGGATGAACCTTTTTTTCTTCCGAGAAGCCCACTCAACCCTTCCAATGAATTTGATCAAAATTGCCCCATTTAAAAACTATGTACACGTGGTTACCTGAACAATCCGTCGCTCGCGTCGCGCTGCGACCAAGGCTGCGCTGCCACGTGTTGCGTTGCGACAGGTCGTACGGAAGCGTGCTCCGCAATCCTAATTAACTTTCTTGCTCGACTTTATCTCTTCGCCATCTCTCTGCAATCATTTTAATGCATTTATTTGCCATATTAGGTACGGGCGGAAGAGCCTACTCTTTTATTCGTGGGCCGTCACGTGCTGCATGGGCATCATCCGCTCCTTCTCCACCAACCTCGGCATGATGCTGACTTTTGAATTCCTCGATGCCTTTTTCGGTGCGGGTGTGTTCAGTGCTGGCTTCATTCTCGGTGAGTTGCCCTGCTATGTCGTCACTCTTTGGTGGCGTTGAGTTCTGGAGACGCATTCCCTCTCACGGACGGACGGGGCGTCGCCGGTGGTGCTGCTGCGCGCGCCGTGTGGGTAGGCAACCCATCCTGCGCACGTGGCTGCTCGTCGGCCTGCCGCCTTTCTTTTCTGAAAGCGGTTCGCTTGCACACTCGTGCACTTTAGCTTACTGACTGGTTGTGCGCAGCGCTCGAGTTTGTCGGTCCGGAAAACTTGCACAGCGCTTGTGCTGACGTTCACTCACTGTATGGTTGTGTTTGCAGCGCTCGAGTTTGTCGGCCCGGACAAGCGGGTGATGGCGGGCACCGTGCTGAACCTCTTCTACTCGGCGGGCCAGGTGGTGCTGGGCGCCGTCGCCTGGGCGGTGTTTGACTGGCGATGGATGCTCCGCTCCATCTACGTGCCCGGCTTCCTTTGCTTGCTGCTCCTGTGGTGAGATTGACTAACTGGCCGTGTGTGCTCGTAGTCGCATCGACGCCTCCTGGATCAACTATCTGACCGTTATTCTGCTCTCCTCTACGCAGGCCCACCCCAGAGTCCGTGAGGTGGTTGGCGTCCAAGGGGCGGTATGCTGAGGCTGACTCCATCATCCGGAAGGTTGCCAAGTTCAATCGGATCACCATAAACGAGGCGCTCGAGGATCGCGTCGATCTGGTCCAGGTCAAGGGGGAGGACACGGTGAGAAAGAGGGGGAGGGGGGAAGGACAGCGAAAGCGAGACGACGCTTCTCTCAGCCTTCATCATCGAGGATGGTGTTCGTCGTACATTACATTAGCTTTCGCATGTCTCAGGTTAAACAAACTGATGCGGAGAAGGGGCTTCTGGGCAAGAGCAGAAAGATCAGCCGCGAGGAAAAGTCCAAGGGCTGCCTGGCCGAAGGCAGTACCATCTCGAACCTGCTGGCCACATTCAAGTCGAGCAGGCTGCTCGTGAGGTTCATCAACTGCTCGTACTGCTGGTAAGCCACGGCAGCGGTCACCAGTCTGGCTACATGCACGCCCAACGCCCAACGCCCAACATTCACTTTTATTTTTCTCCCCAGGATGGCCAACACTTTCGTGTACTACGGCTTGTCGCTCAATTCCGTGTCGATGGCAGGCAATGACTACCTCAACTTCATCCTGGTCACATTGATCGAGTTGCCGGCGCTGTTGGCGCAACTATGGCTCATGGGCGTGTTTGGGCGCAGGGCCTGCTTATCAAGCACCATGATCATTGCCGGCGCATGCTGCATCTCCTTCCTCGCTATACCAGAGGGTAGGTTACAGAGTGGTCTACAGGCCCCTTCCTTTATTTTGCTTATACTGTACCGCATGCAGGCGTGCGTGCGGGTTGCATACTCACACGGGGCCGTAAGGCGCCTTGGTGAGAAACGGTAGGCAAGCCCGCCCGCACGCCTGCATGCGGTACAGTATAAGCAAAATAAAGGAAGGGGCCTGTGGACCACCCTGTATGTGGTGTGGTGTCATCTTGGGTGGTTTTGACGGGTACTCCTGGCCCTCCAAATGCCTAATGAACAGAGTGACCCACGGACACGGAACCCGGAACATTTTGAAGGCATGCACGCAGAAAGCAGACCGCGTTCCGGCTGGTCTAGCCTATCGTCTCAGGGACGCTTAATAATGACCTTGAACGAGTAGGCAACCCACACGCCTGCCTGCGGTTACAATGCGGGTCCGTGAGCCACCCTGCTGACATGTTTATTTGTTCTGATTCTCACGGATATCTTCCTTCTATTCTCCTCTCAGGCTACCTGTACACCAGGCTTACTATGTTCATGATTGGAAAGTTTGCCATCACAATCTCCTTCGCCGTGGTGTATGTCTACACGGCCGAGCTCTTCCCCACCAACGTGCGCCACTCGCTGCTGGGTTACTGTTCCATGTTCGGCCGGATAGGGTCCATGCTTGCCCCACAGACACCTCTGCTGGTGAGTGCTCCAGATATTACTGGTTTGCTCTTTATTCGTGGGACCTATTTTTAATGGATGTAATATTTGTTTTCTATTTGTTAGGCGACCATAAATGAGAGTCTTCCGTTAACACTGTTCGCTGTCTCATCTATAGTTGGAGGGTTCTTCTCACTCTTCTTCCCTGAAACCAAAGACAAGTCTCTGCCAGACTCCATCAAGGAGGCTGAGGAGATTGGCAATGCAAGTCACTAACTGTACTGTTCTATGTTTGACCTTAAGGCTAATAGTATAAAATTTTGTCCCATATCATTCATATCTGTTGAAGTTCAATTGCAATGCTCTAAAAGAAGTTATGAATTTGGCAATGCACCACTACTGCTCCATTCGCCCAACAGTATTTCAACAAATAAGGCTGTGTGACTAGTGGTTAGTTCTCACTTGATATATGAAATAATTATTTATATTTGAGAGACATTCCATGATGTTATTGTACTCCTGTACTTCTAGTTTAATATTCACTGTGTACTCCATCGGCTGAATTTACCTTTCCACTGTCTTTTCAACAAAGAACACTTCATTATGAATTTTTTAATGAGTTTTATAAATGTTAATGTTTAAGAAAATAAATTGTAGATTTTTTTACATTTAAGTTTTTCTTTTCCAGTGATAATTATGTCACATAATGTAAGGAGAGATTTTACATGTATTGAATGTTAGGACACTTGTCATAATGTTTTGTGATAATGACGTACTTTAAGATTATTTCACTGTGCCAAAATTGGTGTTTATTTATTCAAATAAAGTAATAAGAAAACTGAGTTGCTGCTTGTTTACCATGACAAATGTGGGTATTCGAACCCTTTCCTAATGAAATAGAGAACAGCCGACGACAGGGAGACATGATTAGTACCTCACCACAACCAATCAGATCAGATTAGACAACTTTCCTACCTTATGGAAGAGAACTTTTTGGTTGTCTTTTTGGAACGGCGATACCGACATTCGAGAGCCCGAACGAATTCCACTCCTCGCGCCAACTGTGACATCCGTTCCAGTTGTCTCGCACGCAGAATTTTTCATACTGCGATGTGCAACGCAACGCCTTCTTCTACTGAAAAGTTAACAACCTCCGGTTTCAAAACTGTAAATAGTCCGTACAAACTAACGTCTGAAAAAGAGAACCCCATCTCACCCTTCACCGCAACTTTCCGACACTTCACCGCTAGGTTAGGCGTACCTTTCTCTCTCACCAGCTGGGTCCCCGTTGGCTGTTGGGTTGAGCCCGGGCTTGCGAGGTCACGTATTTTTTAGTCTTTCGCGGTTTGTCACCAATTCCTATTCAAGATGGTGCAGGATCTGCCATGGGAAAATTTGAAACGAAAGTTGTCTTGGTTCAATCAAAATCATGCTGATATGTATTTGGATGGCCGATGGGACCCCAAGCGAACTAGGGGAGTGAATGTCGTTCTCCTAGGCCCTCCTGGCTCAGGGAAAGGTACTCAGGTTGGTCACAGAATATCATCACATGCTTGTTTATGTTTCTTGTGCTTTATTATGTCTGTTGTTTTCTTAGAACCTTGCTGATGCTTTCCAATATCCTTGGCTTGTCTCTCTGTTTCTCTCTTTGAATTTTTACCTTAAGCAACGGAATGTTTTCAGGGTCCAAAGATGAAGGAAGAATATTGTGTATGTCATCTTTCTACGGGTGACATGCTCCGAGCAGAGGTATCCTCTGGATCTGAGCTAGGCAAGAAGTTGAAGGCAACGATGGATGCAGGTTGGTTCAAATTACTCTTCCTATTGCTTTTGGGCACCTGTCAAATACTCTAAAACTTACGAATGACTACGTGCTGACCAAGCCCTAGCATAATTTTAGGGATCTGTGGTCAGTTTTTTGGTTCTATTACTGATTGCTTGTATGCTTTTCTACTTTCACAGGAAAACTTGTGAGTGACGAACTTGTAGTGGATTTAATAGCTGCCAATTTGAATAAACCTGAGTGCAGGAATGGATTCCTCCTTGACGGTTTTCCTCGTAATGTTGCTCAAGCTTCTAAGGTATGGAAAAGTCTATATTTTCCCTGAGGCATCTGGGAAGAGCAAGCATCTAATTATATTTCTGTACATAGCTGGACAACCTACTGGGTGCACGTAATACACCACTGGATGGAGTTCTTGAATTTGCCATTGAAGACAGCCTACTTGTGAAGCGCATTACAGGTCGATTGATCCATCCCCAAAGTGGAAGGTCTTACCATGAAGAATTTCACCCTCCTAAGGAAGCCATGAAGGATGATGTAAATAGATTTCTTGAGCCAGAACTACACTAACTGTATTTTCAACATGTTTTTCTGATCATATTTTTCTTATTGATCCATCATAGATCACAGGAGAACCTCTAATTCGTCGGTCTGATGACAATGTGGATTCATTAAAGAAGCGCCTATCGACCTATCACGAACAGACCAAGCCTCTTGTTGATTACTACAAGCGTCAAGGTTTGTGGCATATTACATTAGCTTAGACCTATCTTTCGTTATTTCTGTCAAACTTTCATGATTTCCATTTTTTTTTTTTTTTAAGGTATTCATTACAGACTGGAGGCTTCACTGCCAGCAGATCTGGTATTTCAGCGAATCAAGAAAATCTTTGGACGTTGTGTGACCGCTGAGGAGGCAGGTGGCAGCTATGTTTGAAGTGTTCATGGAGTTTTAGTTTCCAAGATGGGTTGCATGATTTTAGTAAATTGTATTGTCAGAATTCAGCAACCTGTCAACAATAGACATTTGAGATGCCTATTAAAGCTACACTGACAGAATGAGACAGTTGGTAATACCTACACACCTGTCCTCATATGCTTGGTACACTGTATCAGCAAGACATAAGATAGGTACTGGATTGTCATTGATTTTTTTCCTTCTATATTGGAATTTGTGCTACACGTTCATTTTTAACTAACAACTATGAATTAATTTGTGATTATGATCACTTGTGCTGGGAATAAGTGGTTGTTATTACCAATTTGAAGCATGGTGTGCCTAGAAAACTATTCTTTCAGTAACATTTTAATGAACTGAGGTCAGATATTTGAAAATAAAAATAAATGGTATAAATTGGTTTTTGCTTCATGTATTTTACTTTGGCACCTTTAGTAATAAACTATTCATGTTATTGTTAAGAAAGATTTAATTTAAATTAAGTGAAATTCTCCAATTACTATTAACTACTTTATCTGCACTTCTGTGAGAGATGGTGCAGTTACATTTCCTTTGCCAGGCACATGAAGAGCTATACCTTTGTAGGTAGCTATTTTCTTGCTATCTGTCTTTAGATCAGGTGCAACAGATTCAAATACCTTGTGTTTTGGATTTAAGACAGGATCAGGATTGCGGATATATCCTTCCACATGTACCTAACACATGAAACAAAAATAAGTGTGGATTTGTTTAACTACAGCAGTTAAAACAGAAGTGGCACATACCTGGTCACCTGGCTGACATCCAGAAGGAGGATCCAAGATTTCAACTTTTTCTGGGGTACTTGCACACATAACCATAGCCTGGGAGGTGACTCCCCGCATTTTGGCAGGTTTCAAATTGCATAAAAGTACAGCCATTCTATTCTGCATCTGTTCCAGAGGAACAAATCTTACAAGGCCACTGACCTGGAAAACAAATTAGTAAGAAAAAAGAATTTTGCACTGAAAAAAGATGCTGAAACGGCCAAAAATACTTACCACAGTTCGTGGTTGATCCTCGCCCACATCTACTTCTTCAACATACAGTGCATCAGCATCAGGGTGTTTCTTAGCTGAAACTATGCGTCCAACTCGCAAGTCCAGGCGACTAATGTCAACGGGTGCCTCTTGCTTATTTGAAGAGCTATTAGTTTCACCGATAGGTTTCTTAGTTTGGTCCTTCTTAGCAGCCTTAGCTTGTTTGGCGGGTTTATTTTCCTCCTTAGGACTTGTGTCTTCAGCTATTTGTATAAAACAGACAGATTGGGAAGTAAATTAGATAAGAAATGAATTTTACTTACAATAAGTTGTCCATGATAGATCACCTTAGCCATTACCTTGAGCAGGGGGCGCAGCGGATGTACACATGCCTGCACCAGCCTGGCGTGGGAACGGAGGTCGGGGAACCTGGAAATATTAAAATGTTGGAAGAATGCTCAGAGACACACCAAACAGTAGCTGATGAGGTAATAATTAGTTACTTGAGGGACTTGGTTCTGCAATTCAATCTTGTTCAACAAGTTCTTCTGTTCTTCAACTTGACGCCTAAGAGCTGCATTTTCGTGGGTCAGTCTAATTGTCAAATCATGGTTTCGTTTACTAACGTATAAGGAACTCAACTCTTCCAGCTGGAAAAAGAGATCACATAAAATTTTATGAGGTTTAAATCCCTTCACAACTGGAGACTTTCAAATCAATCCGAACGATCATAGAATAGAACGAGAGACAGAAACCTGAGTAATTCACTGATATATAAACTCTAGTATTATTATTACTACAATAATACCATACAAGTACTCATTACTCCTAACCTCGTACCTCATCCTTCAAAGAAGAAAGAAGCTGTTCTGACTCAAAAGCACGCTGTTTCAGACGGTTTAACTCTTCCGGACTTAAAGACATACTTTCGAGTTGAAGTGTCATATCTTAACAGCAAAGAAAACACTTGAAAAATGGTATTTCTTTCCAAGACAAAAATATGCACCACGCGCAGACGGTACGACGCAACCCACCAACCGGCCGACCCACGTCTACAACGTCTGTAAATTTCTCATCTCAGCGAGAGAGATGCCCCCTCAATCTGAACTCACGCTTATCTTTGATTGACTGCGCACTTTTGATGGCTTGCATGCTGAAATTGATATTTAATGCAGATGCGCAACCTCAAAAGCGCCAAGAAACACCAACCAGTGTTATCGAAAACTCTGACGTTGTGCACAGGATCACGCAGCGAGAGCGAGGCGCCTCCCGGCATGTTGTTCACCTTGCCTACCTTTAGGCTGCGAGACAACGTCGAGAAATTTGCGGAAATTCTGCCCGTTATTCTAACGCAAATAACAGGAACATGAGCCATGTCACAAAACACTACACCAATGAAGTACAAGAATAAGAGCTGGCAATGCCTCTAAGTCCTGCAGGATTATGTCGTTGTCGTCTGCTGCTTATTGATTATTTTTGTTTGTATGAGAAATCTAAAGTAAAGTAATAATACCAGGCAGGAGACGAATGATGAATGATCTTGTTTTGAATGAAGAATCTGTGATAGTACTTTATTCTTCTAAGCTCCTTTAGACTTTTCGGTTCGAGTAACTAATGTTTTCTCTCAATTAAGTTAAGTGCGTTAATGGGATATTATCACTGCTTTGAGTAAACCCCACTTCTAACCTGGTCAAAACAATGGATACTGTGACTATACTTTGCTCAATAGGATTTATACATTGTGTTTTATTCTTTTTTAACACAATTTTCAAGGTACTTGTTTATTACTTTCAATTTCTATGACTGCTTTTAAATAATAAAGAAAATAATATTGTATGTCCCTCTGTTTGCAGTCATGTTGTCATCTTCCGTACATACTGTTTCTGAAGAAAACGGGCATCGATGTGAAATTTATGATGTTACAATGGGTTACCCCTTGTTTAAACCGCCCCCTTCAGAAATGGGGAATCTGGAGGCCTAGATTCCTGCAATGGTGGTTTTCCGTGGGAACAATAACCACTGTACTACTTCTACCATTTGCAATTGTTTTGCTTGCTCGAACAATAATGAAAGAACTTAAACAAAGATTGTCCACTGAGGCTCATGATCCTTCCGTGCTCGACACTGTGGTAGGCAAATGCTTTTCAATCTCTCTTTTAACAGAACCTTTTCAATCTATTCAGATAAATTATTATTGTACTATTTTTAGGTCATAATTCCTGGTTATAACTTACCTCTCAGTGATTTTGCTTATTACGGAATCACAATTCTTCTTTGTACTTTTGTGCATGAAGTTGGTCATGCAGTTGCTGCTGTGCGGTAAGGAGATTGTTCTGTTGAGAACAAGTTTCAATGCATGCATTTTCACTTTGTTTTTTCATGGCTTAAAATAATTTGTTTGTTTGCAGGGAAGACGTTCATATTCACGGCACAGGGTTTTCTCTTTTTTTCATCCTGCCTGCTGCTTACGTGTACTTAGATACTAGCCAGCTAAATGCTCTTGCACCATCACGAAAGCTTCGAGTTTTATGTGCAGGGGTGTGGCATAATATTGTTTTGGCACTGTATGCTCTACTTGTTCTTCTTGTTCTACCCATTGCTTATCAGCCCTTCTATATATATGGAGAGGGAGTTTCTGTGACTGATATATCTCCCGTATGTCTTACGTATGTCTTTCATGATTTTTTATCTTACCATTTATGTTACTAATTCATCATTATACTTTTACTAGGATTCGTCTGTTCTCGGCCCAACTGGCCTACGACAGTATGATGTTATAACAGCACTGAATGAGTGTCCTGTCACCAACTCAATCTCATGGAAGAAGTGCCTTTTGGAAGCTCTTCGAAATCCAACTCCAGGTTACTGTATTTCAGCAGAGTTTGTGCGAGAAAATGATGAATCAATTGCAGGTCAGTAGAAAATGTAACTGAATCACCTACTAACAGCCATCAAATTTTTTCAACTACACCTTAATTTGCAGAACACCCTGTTGCTGGAGGTGCTGTTGAATGTTGTTCAAAAGATGCAAGTGCATTAGGCCGCATTTGTTTTCAACTTGTTGATGATTCTGGTGGGCCTGTTGCGCTACCAGAACTTTCTTGTCTTTCGGCCAGAGAACTCATAGAGAGTGGAAATGAATTGTGTGCAACTCAATCACTCAACTCGTGTGCTTCGCCCCTCCACTGCCTTCGTCCGACTATTGGAAACCATACCAAGCTTGTTACAATTCATCGTTCAGAAGGGCAGGTTGGTGTGAGAGATACTGCGGTTAATAATTGAGAGTGCAGGAATAAAATGTACAGTGGCTAAGAAACTTTCTCTTTCTGCTCACAGGTTGTTCTTTTCCTTGGTAATCCAGCCGAAATTTATCAAACTGTGAAAGTCAGTGACTATACTCCTAGGTGGGAGAGGTGCGATCCATTGGTACCTCAAGTTGTTGAAACATTTACAAAGTACGTCTATTTAATATCATCAGGCCTAGCTGTAGCAAATGTTCTCCCAGTGTTTTTCTTTGATGGACAACATATATCTGCTGTTCTATGTGATCTTCTTTTGGCTAAATATGTTAATGATTCATCTACTAGACTTGCAATATCTCTATGTTTGAATGTACTTGGAACTCTCTTGCTTGTAACTGGAGTGTTAATGCCTTTCCTCCTAAAATATGTCTAATTCCTGGGAAAAAAATTAAGTGACAAAGTGGCAAGTAAGGGGCAGGTTAAGTGGCATGTAAGTGTCGGCAATGCAGGTGTAGGAAAGGTTCTATTTTGAAGTTGCAGTGAGGATACTGAGGGTAGTCGCTTGTAATTTTTGTGAAGGAAGGTTTACCAGTCCCTGCTGGAAACGTGTGGAACTTACGCAATAGGCAACACCACAAGGGCTGTCTCAACATGGTGTAGAATTTCAACAGCTTTACCACTTTAGATCTTTACCGCCATTTCCTTGCTACTTGCTTACCTCTTCAATGCACTTCACAGGAACGCAAACCACTTAACTGACACTTAATAAAGTGGCCGTTAAGAGGCAGAAGTGCTACTTAACTGTCACTCTGCCCCTTATTTTTCTCCCAGGGATAGACATCCTATTGATTTTTAATTTTAACTTAATATGTGATTGTTTTTAAATCTGTAGGTCTACTTACATTTTAGCAAACTGCCATTGATGCAACAAATCTGTGATCTGTGATTTCTCTCCTAGTTCTTAAATGTGAAGTAAAACTCTTCATGTAAAATATCTTGTAACATTAAATTAGGTTTCAATCTACCTTCTATGTTTTACTTCCGACAGTGTTGGTTCTATGAATCAAGCTTGTATATAATATTTACCTAGTAAGATGCAACATGATTATCATCAATTCCAAGTATGGCCAAGTATTCATTAAACTTACTTGGAAAGGAAAGGACATTTTTTTCCAAGAAGCACTATTTTTGGTTTATGTATTTATTGTTGTGTGAGCCCTTCCAAAGCAGTCTTACGCAACTCGAACGAGTGGAGCGTTGGGGGAGTAGGAGAAGACGGGGGCGTCAATAGGCGGGACGTCCATGAACTGGAGGCGGGCGACATACGTGGCGGGAGCGGTCCCAGGCGCCGCGGCAGGGAGCTGGTCGACGGGGTCCTGGGTAGCACCATGGGCCTGGGAGACGCTCTGCTTAAAGATGGACGTCGACGATGGAGTGGAGGCGAATTGCACTTTCTGCAGGCGCCCGTTGGGCAAGGAAACGACGTACTCGCCCTGTGCTGCCTGCTCGGCCTGCTCTCTCTCCAACTGCTGCTGTTGCAGCTGCTGGTCCTCCAGGCGCTGCGGGTCGACGCCACGTAGCTGCTGGAGCTGCCCCAGCTGCGCCTGCTGCTCTCGCACCTGCTGCCTCAACCGTTGAAGGACGATGCGCTGTTGGCGGAGCTGCTGGCGGAGTTTGTTGTTGAGTACCACGACTTGATCTGGGGACTCGGTGGCAGGCTCGGCAGGCTGACTGGCGTCCGTGTTCCCAGGCTCTGTTGGTCCCGCCGCAGCGGGAGCGCCATACTGCTGTTGGGGTTGCTTAGGGGGTGCGCCGTACTGCTGTTGGGGCTGCTTAGGGGGTGCGCCGTACTGCTGTTGGGGCTGCTTAGGGGGTGCGCCGTACTG